AGAGACAGGTGAGAGACAGAGACAGGTGAGAGAGAGAGACACTGTTTTTGTTGTTATCACACTTTGAATTTTAGCGTTACGGACCAACTGCACCAGGCTCTCCAGGAAGTCTTTGCTCAGCAGTCTGACCACAGACATCAGAGACCACCCAAACGAGTCAAAGCTGGTGTAGCCGTTGTTTGGGTTGTTTCCCACCTTCAGACAGGTGTAGCCCTCCGGACAGCGCCTGAACACATCATCACCTTCATCGTCATCTTCATCATCACCTTCATCATCACCTTCATCATCACCTTCATCATCACCTTCATCATCTCCATCATCAGGTCTCATGTTATTAAGTGTCTGTGTTGTGAACGAACCCAGAATCAGAGCTGTTTCCACACACCAGAGCGTCGCGCTGACCGGGCAGGAAGTAATAGTTCACTGCCAGAGAGACGAAGGGCAAGAGCTGAAATACAGGGATCAACACTGTACATCTAAATATCATCATCATCTTCATCATCTTCATCATACCAGGGTCTGTAGTCATATCGTGGAAAGTGATATTAGAATCAGGCCAAATGACACATTTGCTCTTGAGATCTCCCATGAAGAGCAGCAGACCAGTCACAGCCAAGACGCTGAGGACGAGCACCGTCAGAACGAGGACGCTAGCGAGTCCCTTCAGTGATTGGACGAGAGCTCCGACCGTGGTCTTCAGACCTGAGAGGGGGCGGGGCGAAAGACTGACTCACGACATCATCATTCATGAAAACAGCCTTTAAAAGAGGAATGAGTAACATCTGACCTCATGCTCAACAGAACTAGGGGGCAGCAATCCACCTCTAACTCATTCTACACTAGAGTCCATCTAAATACAGTCATCGGTTATTAATAAAGCCAACTACGAACTAACAGCAGGACAAGAATGCATAAGATCCAACCAAACAGCTGAAACTCTGACTGCTGGTCAGAATAATACTGCCATCTTATGGAGACCCCCTCAACGTGTTGGCCGGTTAGGGAAGGGGGGGGGGGGGGGGGGGGGCTTTGTGTTGGACGTGATTGACTACGTGTTCGTCCTCTCATGTGAAACTAAAGACTGCAGTGACTCACTATTACCTCTACAGGTACATTTTACAATATTATGCTGGTTAGCATCACTTCAGTAGATATCTGTCTTTGACATAACGTCAATACTGTGATGTTTGTTTTATGTTTTAAACTAAAATTCAGGCCATATGTTACATAATGCACCTTTGATGCATGTGTGTGACACACAAACAGACACACACTAACCTGGGATGACTGTGATGATCTTTAGGACTAGAGGAACTGTCCTCAGCACAGAAACTTTGCCAAGGTCTACAAACCCCGCCACGAATCTGAAATACATCATCATCATCATCATCACCATCTTCACCATCATCATCATCATCATCACCATCTTCACCATCATCATCATCATCTTCATCATCATCATCATCATCATCATCATCATCATCATCATCTTCATCATCATCTTCACCATCATCACCATCTTCACCATCATCATCATCATCATCATCATCATCACCATCTTCACCATCATCATCATCATCATCATCATCATCATCATCTTCATCATCATCATCATCATCATCATCATCATCATCATCTTCATCATCATCATCATCATCTTCACCATCATCATCATCATCATCAGTGTTGTTTTAATGGATAAAACAAGATCTGGCTGAGGGACAACTGTTGAAAACTATCCCACAGCTACAAAGAGATGCACGACGACTACAAAGAGATGCACGACGACCACAAAGAGATGCACGACGACCACAAAGAGATGCACGACGACTACAAAGAGATACACGACGACTACAAA